TCGGATTATTATACCATCGAGCACATTGTGACAGCTGTAGTGGAAGGTCAGTTAATCGCTTATTTTGCATTTATTTGCTTCTTTCTTTGCAGGTAATTTTCCTTTTGCTAGTCAAGACATCTCGTTACTCAATTTTTTTCGTTGCTTTCATCTCTACATTGTATTTTTTCCTCTTCTGTATCCAAATTGTACTTCGGCGTTCCTCCAAAAGAAGTTTTTGTAGGAAGTCCTGCCTATGAAGCCGGTCTGCGTAGCGATGACCTGATCACTGCCGTAAATGGTCAGCCAGTCCACAATCTCACACATCCGCAACTCATGCATCGTTTGCTAAGCTATGGCAATGAATTGACATTGAAGGTACCTTATTTTTTATATGCACCTTAATCAAGCTATTTTAGAATGAAACTTGTCTCGATTTAAAAAATGCTGATTTTGTTTTATTCTAGGTCACACCATTGTCTGCCACTTCGATCAAGGAGGGTGCCCCGAGGAAAACATTAGGTAAACTTGCTAAGAAGAAGCCAAAACGTCCTCAACGTCGAGTTCCACTTGAGAAGAAGCCAAGGTATGTTGAGAGTGGTATAAGAAACTGTTAATTTCATGTTCACATCTTCTCAGAATGTCATTTTAGTGTAAATAAAAAACAGCTTACATTTTGAACGTTCTTGGCAGTAAGCTATCCTGAAGGCAGAAACTAGAATTAATAGGATAAAAGTCACTCTTCCTTATTTCGTGTGCGCCACTGGTAGTGAACGCTTTGAGAAAAATAAAATAAAAGACACTCAAAACATCTATTCTATTGATTTATCTAAACCACCCTTCATAACATCGCATTTTTTCTTGGCTACAGTCTGTACCTTCCAGAAAACCGTCTTCCCTGCTTCGTCGTCTGAGCGGAAAACGTGCCACCAACGACATCGTCCCTGGAAGTTCTAGCCAGAAACAGACCTTTATGCCAAGGTTACTAGCATTTTTATATTAGAAATAGCACTTTATCTGGGTAGAAACAATGGCACACTATTTTGAAATCGGTTTCTTGACATTTGTGTTCAGGTCGGTCTCCAGTCAAGATGGCGCTATACTTGGTGGTCCGCTTACCACTACTACCTGTCCTCCATGTGCAAGTACGTCACAATCGGGAACGTCAGTCGCTTGTCCAAAATCTACCTGTCACAAACGGCTCTCGGATGTTGGTCTCAGAGAGGAGAATCGGTAAGATTTTCAGTTCTCCACTGGCTGTACCTTTTGATTAGGAATCTTTTTGCAGTTCTCCATTAGTATCATCACGGCCATCGTCCCTGAGAGGTTTGAAGCAGCCACTGCCGCCACCATTGGCCCCTGGAAATTCCGCATCAGCCACTCTGAACGTGAAAATGCCGACATCTCCCATACCAGTGAGTCCGTTGGCAAGAACGGAACATACGGAAACTTCTTCTGCGGGTCCGATTCTGACAAGGTAAGGGTGCTACGTATTTCGCGCGTCTGCGAATTTGCGCTTTGTGTTTGATGGAATCTAACTATTGCAACTTCTACGTTTTGTTATCTCTGAACTTGTCAACTCCCAGTCAGAATTTGTTTCGTTACTTCTCAAAGATTAGGTGAATCCTGAATTTTTTTACTGCTATCATAACAGCTGAAAATTCCTGTACTAGAAAGTTTTTTTGTCAGAGGTTAGAAAATTGGGCGCTATTCCATATTAGTTGACCAAAACATGAAGATTTTGAATTGCCAAAATTTCGCCTGTGGGAGGTATTTGGTACGCTGAACACGAATATGATGTTTATTTCG